TGGTGAGGAGGTGGAAAAGGGAGCCTTTCCTATATTATTAGTGGAACAATACATTAGTTGTCACCTTACAAAATAGTGTGCAGGTTTCTCAAAAAAACTAAGGTATAACTTTCATAATATCTTTTTATCTATTTCTGGGTGTGTATCTAAAGGAAGTAATATCAGCCTACAGAGCAGATATCTGCACACCTGGGTATACTGTATCACTGTTAACAATAGCTAAGACAGAAGTGGCCTCCATTCATCAACAGATGAATGGGTAAAGACATAGGCATGTGTATATTACAGAATATTATTCAGCTGTGAAGAAATACTATAAAGAATAAGAAAAATAAATCCTGTCGCTGACAGTAAAATGGTTGGAATTTAACGGCATCATGTTAAATGAATTAAGTCAGACACACCACCAAGTATCATACGTTCGCTCTTACATATTACATTGGTCAGTGTTCCATCACTAGCACAAAATACCTGACACACACAACTTAAAGCTGAGAATGTTTACTTTGCCTCACTTCAGAGCTTTAGTCCATAGTTACCTGACTCCAAAGCAGAATCATCATGACAGAAAGCTGCAGCAGAGAAAATTCCTCAAATCAGGGCAAGCAGGAGGCCATAAGGGAAGGCGTCAGGGATCAGACGCAGCCCCCTCTACCTCCCTCCACCCCCCCACCCCGGCAACTCCTGTGACTCAGGCAGAAACACCCAGGAGTATTCTTTCCTAATCTCCTACCTGCGTCTCAAACGAAATGAAATTAGCCATGACATGTGGAAACTAAAAAAGTGAAGAAAGGAAATCTGGAAAGAGAGGAGGGATAACCAGAAGCTGGAAAGCGTCATGGGGCAGTGGGGCTGGGTAAGGGGACAGAGGTTTCATGTAAGCCTGTGTGGGAATCTCACAGCAAATCCTACAGAGGCTCTCTTCTCCTCCTTGTCATGGCCCAGGAAGTTTATACTGGTAATCTTACGGAAATGTTACTGGATTCTGGTGAGTTATTTCCAATCCACTGCCTCCAAGCAACCCACAGCGAGAATAAAGCCACGAAGACATATTTAGTTACGAGCAGCAAAGGGATCCTGAGTCTGGTCCAGATGAGGGTTCATAGAACAAAGACCACAACCCAGGATCTATCCTGGATTTTATTATATGAAGAAGGGAGTGGCTAAGGTGAGCGACTGTGAGAATAGTGGGAATTATGTAAATGCTGTGAGCTGAGTTAAACAGCTCTGCAATACACAGAGAGAATATGCAGAAAGACCAATCTGCATAACACAACTAAAGCAGCATTTAAGGTTTAGGAGGCTGCTACTTCAGTTTCTGATGTGTAAACTTTTGTGTCCTGGGAAGTCATAGTTTCTTACCTTGAGGCTGAACCCAGTTGACAGCCCTGGAGCTGTTGGCTCTGCCATCCATAGGAAAGAGTTGACTGTTGGCTGGCTTCAAAGATTGTACATCATTACTTCAGTTAACCTTATTTACATTGCTTAGCACCAATTAGAGGGAAAAGGAAATGGCCTAGCCAGCTCTGTAATATCAGCACAGGGACACAGAGCCAGGTTAGCCAAAGTGGGGCTAACTGCTCTGTATTCAAGGGGAGCCACCCAGGTGGTCTTCTGCAAATCCCACAACAAAAAATACAATAAAGCAAATAAAAGAAGATACTGAAATCTGAACTGTGCTCTTTTTCTCTGTGTAAAATATACTTTAAATTTTGTACTTCTTCAAATAGTTATCATAAACATGGATAGATTGTGGTGAGGCTGTAGAGGAAGGGGAAACCTTGACCACTGTGGGTGAGAATGTAAGTTAGTATACCATGATGGAGAATAATATAGGGTCTAAAAACACTAAACTAGAGTCCCACATGACCCAGTGATCCCACTTTTGGTTTTATATCAGAGGAATTAAAATTGATACATTAAAATGATGTCTGGACTGTTTATTAATTGCAGCATTATGCACCATAGCTAAGCTATGGGAGCAATCGAAATGTGCATCAATGGGTAAACAAATAATGAAAATGTGGGTCATATACACAGTGGATTACTTTATGGTCTTTGAAAATAAGTAAATCCTGTCATTTCAATGACCTAGATACTAGTTACATAAAACAAACCAGGCACAGAAAGACACAAACAAAACATAGAAAGTTGGTTCCAAAGGCTGGAGGATGGAGAGAAGGAGGCAGGGGAAAGGGAGATGTCACTCACCTCAGACTTACAGTTAGATGGGAGGGTAAGTCCTAGTGATACATCACGCTCTAAGGTAACACTGTTACGATATAAACTTCTAATGTTCTAACCACAAAAAGTATGAAAATGGCAGTTACATTTAAAAGAAGGAGAACATTGTTTCAAGCCACTAACGTCTATTTTCTCAGTTCATTTATCAGGAAAAGATACTAATGTGTAGTTTGGTAGTATAAAGGAACCTAGTTGAAAGTTTCACTCTGACTCATGAAATCCTTCTGAAGAAGGTTATTTCTACAGGAAGAGTTTTAAAGGTTTAGTGGTAGTATTCCAAAGCTGCTATAGTGAAAAAAAGTTAAATATGTTCTTTTGTAAATTAAAAACCTAAGAGTTATTTGAAAAGAAAGAAATGTGAAACTGGAAAAGAGCTAAATAATAGCTTAATCACACAATTTTGAATAAAACTAAGTCCGATTAGGAAAAAAAATGTCTACTTTCTTTGGAAAGCTAATGCAAGATGGAAACAGAAGACAGAGACTGTTTCAGATCAGCTTTGTGGGGAAAACAACTCCTATAAAACTCTACTGGTTAAACATTTAATGAATTTTTCCCCAATCATATATATATTCTCTAATAAAGTTTAAAGTTTCTATAAGTGTTACTGTCACATTCTCAGAAGGTTTGATCTGGCCTTTTCACCCATTTTGCTAACATCTGACTTACTAGCATAACCATGGTCACATGAGCTTCTCATTAAAACCTAATTACTTTTGGGAAACTTTAGAGTCACAATTCACAATCAGCGTCTAAGAGATTAAAGGAAATCACATAAATAAGATGGTAAAAGCATGTTAGTGACAATTTTCAGCTGGATAAAGATAAATACACCAAAGGAATGCATTTGGCAGCCTGTGTGATGATTTCTCAAGTGGGAACCAAAACTAGATGTTGCAATCCTTGCAACATGTAGTTTATCACTAAACAAACGGCGCTATTGCAAAGCCAGAGATAAAGTCATAACTTTTCACAAGTGAAAGGATGGCTGTTCTTAAACTCTGTAGCACAGATTCATGAGAATTAACCTATTTTACCTTCAAATTAACTAATCATCCACAGATAACAGAAGTATTTTAAAAGAAATGAAGCTATGTATAGTATTATCTTAAAATTAAAACTAAAAATTAATACTATTTTAATGGTTATACTGATTTCTGGGTATTAGTACTTTGTAATGTTTTGACTCTCATTTACAGTTTATTTCCAAATAATTTGCAGCAAGACTAAATATATTTTTAAAAATAACTTGCAAAGTAAAACAGGACATTCGATAGTGAGAAAATGTAAAAATTTGTAGAAGACAATAAGCTGCTCTTTAAACAGTATACAGCTGGTATATTTGAACAGGAAAGCTAACTTAATATTTCCACCTATGTTCACAGATCTGCTAATGTCCTTTTTCATGTGTATTTCCATTGATTTAAAGAAGTATCTCTGCTTTGATCTTGTGTTATTAACTTCTCCAAATTGCTGGTCTCTAACACCTATGTACTTTTATATAGAGTGGCGAGTCCAGTTAAAAATGTAACTGCTTAGTGTGGATTATTAGTTTGGACTCTGTCCACATAATGTAGTTGACCACTGGCTGCTGAATTGATAATGGAATCCTAAATCCCTTAACTGTGAGATCCAGAACACAAGCCTAGATTTTAAATCTCTAACTGAGTTCCAGGTTTCTTCCGTGGCTCCAAAGACCTCTTCAGGTATTATAAATGCAGAGAGTCAGGGGAGAAACCACACTAGAATAAAATCAATAGATAACATTAGTGCATGACACTGTATGGAGTTCTGCACATGAATTCACCTCTCAGAAATAATCATGTGACAAAAGTTTTAAGAGTTATCACCTCATTGCATATGAAGAATATGACATGTAGAGAGGTATAAGAAACCTTCCAATGCACACAGCAATGAGCTGGATAAGAATGTCATTCCAGATCCCACAAACATGTATTTAATCATTTCCTAAAAGGAGGGATGCTGCAGGAATCAGGAGCTGGCCGAATCTCAATAAACGATCATCACCAGTGTTTCTCTGGACAAATCATAGCACCTACTTGGGTTTAGTGCTCCCTTCTATAAGATGAAGATGCTGGATTCCAAGTTCCATTAGGCCACCATGAGCTTGCAAGTTAAGTTATCATAAAATGTGACAGCTGTGTAAAATTAGAGGGAGCTTTAAATCATATGTGGGGAGCCTGAGATTTTCCACTGATATTTTGTGACTGGGTTCATTTAACCCCTGAAGTTATTATGTTTCTCTCTTCACAGATTCTTCAAAAAGTGTACCACAGCATATAAATTAAATGACCACACCACCATCTTAAGATTGTTTTACGGCCTTGAAAACATGGATTTAAAGAATTTTGCTAAACTGATTTGTCACTATTCCATTCTCTTCTTTTCACTTAAAATATTTGTCTGTGATAGGCAAAGGTAATGCTGTTTTTAGTAGATTTAAACACAGAAAGAAAGTGTCTAAGCACTTTCTCCAATTTTCCATTAGCATACGAGGAGTAATATATGTCCAATGGAGACACATTTCCCCATAAAGAGGGGCTAAACATGTACTTAACTATATAGTCATCATTTTTTGTGTGTGTGAAAACAGCAGTGGAAAATTATCTGTATACTTTAGCTCTTTTGCAGTTTGACAAAGTTAATGATTGAAATCTCCTAGACTTCCAGTGTGTCTGTTTTCCCTGATTGATATTTTACCTCTTTTGGGCCAAAGATGACCGCCCCTCATTTCCGCATGGAGATTAATAATTGATTAGTTGGCAGTCGGGGGTCTAGTAAAAGGGGACTGCAACTTTTGGCTGTCATCTTTTCCTTGGGGACCTGCAGTGACAGAAATTGCTGCAGGACTCCCGGGTGGAGCAATGAAGCTGGTCTTGTTTCTCCTGCTCGCTGTAGCGCTGGGCCGTGCTTTAGAAAGAGGTAAGGTCTCGAGGATCCTTACTCATTTAATTCTCATCACCACATGAAAACTGTGCAAAAAGATAAAAAAATGAAAGAATTGGAGAATATGTTGGAAGAAAGAAGGAAAAGAATCTCAGGAGAGAAAGTCTAATTATATAGTTTGTCAAATATTCCTATTTTTGATAAATGAAATCTGAAGAAATGCATTAACTTTCAAAAGACAATATGCTGGAGGGATTAATCAGTAAGCATTTTTCAGACTTCAAAGCACTTCCGCAATGGAGAGTGCAATGTTCTATGTCAGTGATGCATAAAGGCAACCGAAAGATTTCTCTCCTCCTCTTCCTCCACCTCTTCCTCCTCCTCCTCCCCCTCAAGAGGTCTTACATACCCAGTATTTTGGGGTTTTGGTAGTGTTGTTTGTTTTTATTTTTGCTATTTTATGTAGTATTTGAAAAAGCACTATGGTTTTTTTAAACATATGCCACATACAATAAAAATTTTCTGTAACTATGAAACAACCATATAAAAGATAATTGAAAGATCATTGAGTTATATTTTTCATTAAAATTGTTCTTCAAATAGTGTTATTTTTAGGTCATGTTTAAAAAATTTTTAAATGATACAAATAGATTATGTCTGGCTGATTTTTAAAATATGTATAATAAAATGTGCATTCATCTTGCCCTGTAAAATTGAAATTTTTATTGAGTGCTGTCAACAGACTTACCCAAGTCATACATTTATATTTATGTTAGCAAAGGAATCAAATACTGCGTTCATTAACCATGATTTGAAAAATATGACTCTTGACTTTGTTACTCTTTTTACATTCACTTTTCCTTGCTGTTACTTTGGCCACCCAAATTACCTTAACCGTTTCACTCATCCGTAGATCTAAGGCAGGCTACTAGACCTCAGGTAAGACTGCACAACCTGAGACAAAATGAGAAGTACAAAAAGGAAAATGCTTTGCACAGGCCAGATCCCTGAAAGTTTATTCTTTTGCCCCAGATTTCTTTGGGAGCAGATCTGACCCTGAACATCCCTGTGAACGCTAACTCAGACCAGAACCTGCAAATGCAAAGGCCCAGGAATGGCTCAATCTCGGAAATACATGTATTGGAAATCTCAGTTCCCTTGAGAGATCTGAATTTAGTCTTCTTGCTCAGATTTCATAAGTCAGATGACGCCCCTCTTAGCACTTGATACCTTACGTGCCAAGCACCTCCTGTGCATTCATTTTAACAAAAGTAGATGTAAGTTTCAGGAAATTAAAGATATTTACTTCCTGTTGTAACTTACTGTTTTAGACAACTACTTGATATATAGTTAGTGTTTGAAAAATGTTTGCATAATATCACAAAACTAGAGTGCCAAACTCCTAAGATAATTTTGAGTATTAGAGTAAAAGTGCACCAGCGAAGCTACATAATGGTCATATTGGAAAGAATAAATTCTTTGTAAAAGTTTATCATCATTATTTCTAATATTCTCATCATACGAAATTTCCACTATGGAGCACTGGCACTGAAGTTTATGCTCTGTAAATACAATTATTGATGGTACTTTATTAATAATTCCAGCATGTTTAAAAGCTTTTGGATAACTTGATTTTATCCTCACAGTACCATAACAAGCTCAGAACTATGATCCCCATTTTATAGATTAGGAAATGGAGCAAAAAAAAAAAGCTAACCATAGCAGAATTAGAGGCAATGCTCGTGGTCACTAATCTGTTGCCTCTCATGAAACAAATACTTTAAATTGAAGTTTTGTAAACTATGAACATATATATATATATATATAAGACAGGAACAAGCCACCACTGACATCAGCTTAATTGCGATTACCAGTGAGTCATTATCTGCCGCCTGACTGTGTGTATCCACAGGTGGTCCAAACCTCATCATCACTCCAACTGGGACTCCTAACGCTCCATTTTCTTTCCTGGCACTGTCGCATCTGAATTCCTTTCTCAGTCCTTTAGAGTCTTCTTGGACATTATTCAATTCATTGTTACGCCCTACATTCCATCATTCCTACATTCCGTAAAGTTTAGCTGTGACGCTGACCAGCTTTGCGCAGAATATTCCGTTGCTGAAACCTCCTCAGTCTCTCCCTCCCAAACAGAACTAGCTCTCAAAGTGTAGGTACTGCCCTTCACCCCACTCCTGCCATTTCTAGTTCCACACAGGGTTCCTAACCAGACCGGTTTTCTCCTTCTCCTGGCTATTGCAATTCACTCTCTAACCAATCAATGCCTTACCTCCCACACTTCCCCAGCCACCATATTAAGAAAATACAGTACAATCTTGATAAAGGCAGTGACTCCAAAAATGAATTAAGCACTTAAATCAGGCCACTGTTGTGAGATTAATGAAACAACAGGGCTGAGTGTGTGCAGCTGGTTGGTGGGGACTTGGACCCTGGTACCTGATATAAAGCCTCTGCGGCTGTGCCCTCTGTTGGAGTCACCTGCTCATGAGTTGGCTCAAGCTTAAACACAAACAGAAAACAAAGCCCACCATCCCCAAAAGTAGAGGTGCCCTAATGCAGTGAAATGAATAGACTGGCTACATCACGAAGGGGAACATTTAAGTTGTAGATGTAATAAAAGTTGCTAAGTAGATGAGCTTAAAATGAAAAGAGAATGCTAGTTTATCTGCGTGGGACCAGGGTAGTCCCAGCGCCTGTTAAAGGTGGAAGAGGAAGTAGAAGAGTCAGAGAAGGTGTGACTGAAGAGGCTGAATCGCAGGCAAAAGTGCTGGCTTTGAAGACAGAGCAGAGTGCCCTGGAGCCAAAGTAGACAGAGCACTCCTAACAGCGCCCTTCTGAAAGCCAGGAGGTGGGTTCATCCCCAGGACCTCCGCTGCTGATCCTGATTCTAGTCTAGGGAGATCTGTGAAAAACATAACAGTAAGGGTTTGAAATTTGAATCTCCTCATTTGTGGCAGTGTAATGCAACTGCCGCAGAAATCCAGGGTGGTGTGTTTCCGGGTCCCCCGGCTGGCTGAAAGTTCACCAGTGGAGGGGCCGGTGAGCCGCAGGAACCCTCTTACTGGGCATCTCTCCAGAACCAGCGAGATTCAGAGAAGGTGCATGCTAACTCCTTTCCCTGCTTCCTGTGGGGTTTCCTGTTTTTTTTTTTTTTTTTTTTACCTTCTTGTTTGTGTTGTACTGATCAGAAAATGAGGATTCAGCCTAATAGTATATCACATGATATGATATTAACACATTTTCAGTTACTGAATTTTAATGTAAAAATTATTGATAACAGTCACTGACAGTTTATCATGTATTACAGACTGTATGTTTGTGTCTCTCAGGGTTCATATGCAGAAGTCCTAGTGTGACAGGGTACTTTGGAAGGGGAACTTTGAAAGGAAGAGTCATTTAATGGGATTTATGCCCTTCCTGGGAGAGAGGGATGGAGGGGGGGAGAAGGACAGGAGGAGGGCAGAGGAGAGAAAGTGGAAGACAGCAAATAAAACAGGAAGAGAAGACAGGAGGAGAGAAAGAAAAGAAGAGAAGAAGGGAAGGGAAGGGGAGGAGAGGAGAGGGGAGAAGAGGGGAGGGGAGGGGAGAGGAGAGGAGAGGAGAGGAGAGGAGAGGAGAGGAGAGGAGAGGAGAGGAGAGGAGAGGAGAGGGGAGGGGAGGAGAGGAGGAGGAAGAGGGACAATCATTTTCTTTACACACATATAAAAGAATGTCATACAAGGACATATGAAGATGCCCTCACCAAATCTGTGAGCATGCTGGCACCCTGATTTCAGCCTTCCAGTCTCTAAGCTACATAACAAATAATGTCAAACTTCACAGTCAGTGGTAATTTGCTGTATCTACCTGAAGACAACAGGTTAGGCAGTAAATATGGAAGCATTCTTACATGGATTAACATTTTGTAAAATGTTAGCCTTATATTTCTGAGTCTTTTGTGGAATTTTTAGTCTTCTGGGATAGGATTATGTTGTTGGCAAGGAGTGATATTTTGACTGTGTCTATGTTGTACCTCTATCACTTATTTCTTTCATTTCCTGATTGCTCTGGCTGATGTTTTAGAACTATACTGGACAGCAGTGGTGATAGCAGAAATTTTTGTTTTATTCCTTATTTTAGGAGGGAAGTCTTTATTTTCTCAGCATTTAATATGATGTTAGCAGTAGGGTTGTTTTAAATGCCTTTTATCTGCTGGAGATAAATCCCTTTTATATCTATTTTCTTCAGGGTTTTATCATGAATGGGTATCGGATTTTGTTAAAAATGGGTATTGGATTTTTTCTGAGCCTACTGAGATGATCATGAGAAAATTATGGTAGACAGTAGTCTTGTGCTCTAATCTGTTATGAAATTTTGCTTTATTTTTTCATAGAAGAGTAGTTTTTATATTTTCCTATCTACATTTATTACATTAAAATATAAAAATAAAAGAATATCCTAATAAAGGTGATATTTATCATATATTTATCTCAAATCCAAGAATATTGTTCCTTGAATGCAAGTCATAAAGTAACTATCCTCCTACCTAATAGTTCAACGTCACCTTAGAAAAAGCAGCAGAGCTTTGGGTGCTGAGTCTTTCTGATTTATCTTCCAGCTTTCTTACTGCATTACTCACTATTCTCCAGATTTCCCAGCTTCTGTGTCTCTTGGTGCTGTAGTCTTCACTTAGAATTCCTGTCCTAATCCTTTTACACCTACTATGACCCTACTTTGCTCTCAGTGTATTACATATAGTAGTTTCTGTTCTGAGGCTTCCTGAAATTTCCTTCCAACCTGAAGTTTCCATTATATCGCTTTGTCCGTTCTCTAGTATGGTAATGATTACTATATTTATTGTACCTTATATTTAGCTCTTCTGTCAGGCTCAGCGTCCTTAAGGATTGGTAGCTTTAGAGCTCTATTTTGCATGATTCCCTGTTCCTAGTAAATTATTCATATAGATTTGTCATATGCAAATGTACAACCATCGTCACAAATGAGAACTTGACAATAATATGACATGAGTATATACTATT